AGGAAGAACTTTCCAGAACCTATAGCATGCGCTTAGATAAATACTGTACATCCGTACCAAAACAAAAAATGCTGATGTTTGTGAATGCAACAGAAGCTGCTCTTGATAACATTCCAAGGCCAAGTCACACATGCTAATCACTTCGTTTATCAAGAAGCTTATGGGTTTTTGACGCAAAACAGCAGCAACATTTAACATACTGTTTGGGAGATGTTAGTATCCAAATAGTTTTCATTCAACTAATTTTCATTGTTCTTCAGAGAAAACTGATTAATAATTGAAGTCTGATCAAGAATCAAACTCAACCCAACTGTCACCAAATAATTTTGTTGATCCCCCCATTGATTTATTTCTCCAGTAAAGCTGTTGAAACCTTTTAATTGCTAAAAAAAAAAAGTATGCAGATGAATGTAAGGAAGATAATGTGTACACATGGCAAAACACAAATTGCAGGAAAAAGTTTAGTGCCTTGTAGATATATATGAACAAAAGAAACCCAAATCATCCTACAACACTGCATGCACCAGAAAATATAAGTCACTTTCTGATTCAAACATATACATGTACAGTAGTAGAATCTTGTTACAACAAAATATGTTTCACTATAATACATTAATGATTATACAAAAAATTGCTTTCTGGGTACCTGATACCCAATAACAACAGACTCATCAGAATGTATGTGTAAAACAGATTTTTCACACCAAAATGTTTATTCAAAGAACTACAATTGAACCTTTCCAATTAGTCAAGGGACATTGGAAAAAATCTGACTTTGAAAGAATCAGATCAAGAAGGCAGTCTTTCAGCCTTTCAATGCCTATGATGCAATTTCTCAAGGTAATTCAGGCAAAACCTAAAAAAAAGTAAAATAAATAGGTTTGACTTATCAAGAACAAAATGCATATAAAATGATGCATCCAACATGCATGTACAAGTGTACAACATTGATATTCCTGGAAACCCAGACATTCAGTTTAGCCACCTTTACATTTTGTACCATTTTACTACTTTTGTCGGTAATTTAGAAATTATGTTTCCATATGTGTGAGCATCCAGGAGCAAGGAAGCCTTGTCCGAAAAAAAGAAGATGGAAACGATGTAAAAACTTAACAAGTATAGAGCTGGTGTAAATAGTGGAGTTCTGCTTTATCATCAGCCAGCCTCAATATCTTCACCACCGAAACACAAAAGTATAAATGAGCGACAATAAACTGTTGGAGTCTCAGTCTGCATTTGAACTATACTCGTTGGCATTTATAGCTTGCAATGTGGTTCTGCTTCTTGTTAGCTCTGGTGTTGGAACAAGTCGCAGCATATTCCGTAGATTTTATCAAACTTGGTGCAGATCATTCAGTCAGTTACGAGGCACCGATAAACATTTCATTGCACCAATATGAGAAGATCTCCATTCAAAATACAGGAGATTATGACGAGGAAGCCATAATTAGTTCGAGTTACAGTTATTTCAAGATTTACTTAGACGGACAGCTCGTCAGTGATCTATCGAATTCTCCGGTGGGCCCTGGAGGAACTTGGTGGGAATACACAGCCAACGCAGAACAAGGAGCTAAAATTCAGCTCCAACTTGAGAAGAAAAGATGGACAAGAAACATATATCTGAAAGGAACATATACCATCACCTGCGTAAAACCTAGCTGTAATCATGGGAATTGCATCATAAACAGAAATGAAAGCCATTCAGCTCCGGTAACCTGCAACTGCCTGGAATATTACACGGGTGAAAACTGCAATCTTGTCTTGCCTCGAACAGCCGAGGAAGGAGTGTTGACACCTCTTAGTTCATATGCACTTTCGTATTTTAACATCGAGCTTTATCCAAGTGAAGATGTCACCTTTGTCTTTATCAACCATGAGATTTCAAAAGCACTAATCCGAAAGATTGTTGACAATATGACGAGTGAAATTGAGGGAAATGCGGACAATCACGGCCTTGTCGTCTCTGGTGCGTCTGGAAGAAACGTTACACTTATTGTGCAGCATGCAATTCCTTACAACTTTCAAAATGGTGCAAGGATAACGTACAATATTCATTGCACCCCGGGATACTGCCAAGGCGGGATTTGCCACCTGAACAGAACAAGCACAACTTCAAATCCGCCCTACTGCGAATGTGACGAGCATCACAAGGGAACACATTGCGAACAAATGGTACACGATTGTCCTTTGGTGTGTTTGGATGACTCGACATGCGTTTGGATACGAGATAGATACACATGCAAATGCCGCAGTCAAGGGTACACTTACAATGGAACAAACTGCAATGACGTAAACGAATGCGAATCACTGCTCAACACTTGCTCATCACCCGAGGTGTGCATCAACACTCCAGGATCATTCTTCTGCACATGTCCAGCAGCGCACCAAGCTCTCAAAACCTCAAGAGGAAACTCTTGCGTGTACAGTGGTTGTTCTCTTCCATGGACTGAGTCCAGTGACAAAATATGCTACCTGACACAAGGACATTTCGAAAACCCAGAAACGGCCTCGGACTATTGTGATTCCCTCGGTGCTACGTTGGCAGGGATAGAGAACCCGAACACAAACACGAACCGGTCAGAAGAAATCGGGATGTCGTCTAAGTCAGCCATCGTCTGGATAGGGTTGACAGATGGACAGGCAGAGGGCAGATGGAAATGGATCAACAGTGGAGCCAAGCCCAGGTTCTCAAACTGGGGTCCAGGTTTTCCAGAAGGTATTGGAGATTTCGCAGTCTTGTACCCCAACCGATGGACGACAAAATCAAAAAATTGTACAGTCAAAAAACGCTTCATCTGCGAAACCACGGATCCCTTCTGTCCATTCGGATGGATAAGACTGGAGAATGTTCCAAAAAAGTGCTTCTTCCAATCAAATACTGTGAGTAGTTTCACTGAAGCTCAAGCAAAGTGTGCTGAAACTGCAGTTCGTGGGAAATTAGCGACGTGGACTGAAGAAACTCTTGTGAACTTCAAGCCTGTTTACTGGGACACTTCAGCGGACGAAGGATTAGCACATTTCTGGATAAACCATCTTGCATGTGAAGGCACTGCTTGCTCACCGATCTTGACCACCTCCTTCAATCCGATGCTGGAAGATCACCTTCACAGAGCAAATTTAGACTTCCGATCACCGATGAAAACGACAGCTTATTCGTCGAATAGTTTGGAGAGCTGCGCTTTTCTTTTCCCAAACAAATGGGCGGACTACAGTCATGAGAAAAGCGAGGTAATGGATAACCCTGGTCCTGCAGTTGCCTGTCAGCGGAAAACTTCTTACACATTCAAGGATATATCTGGCGAAGGGGAAGATAACTTGAAAGCGGACGCCATTTCCTCAAACACTGGCCTGCTGACGCCTACTGAGCGTAATTCAACGCACATTTTCCACGACGGGAATGATTCCAGCACGAAGCCTGACAATGTTACCAACCTTGACATCCCGCGACCAATAACCGAACGAACGTCATCAACCAGCTTATAGGAGGTATGACAGTAATAATACACAACATTTCATTCACGAATCATTTCGTGTCTATCGTTTTGATTCGAAAAACTCAACTGTAGTACAGTATGCTAAATACGGTTTTCATTTTCTATTATACGTCCTGATGGTCGACACAGGTAATTCTTGGAGACGGACTGGAAGACGAGCGGTAGAGCGTTAAGAACAGCATTGCCTGCAGCTCAAGTACTATTACATGTGCTGAAAGAAGTTCCACAATCCTGAGCACGGCTTCAAAAATTATCTTTCGCAAAATTAAATAATGTCGCTTATAAATTCTGGCAATGGAATCCCATTGCTGACATGCGGGTGCCCATGACATGCTAATATATGTGTAAGGCAAATGTAAGTGACATCTATGCTTTATTTTGCTTCCGGCGAGCCCTGCGTGATAAATTGCAGCACCGCACTGACTTACGAAACAAAACAAAAGCGTGCATAGTTCCCTGGTCATCGCGCAGGAGAGGCGATCACTAAGGTTTTTAAAAAATAAGCAGATGTCGCACTGACCACCGAAGTTACAGTACTGTATATCCCTACCTCCCGAGCTGACGCATCAAGGCTTAATCCAGAGTTCAGCACCATACTCTACATTGATGGTTATGTCCCACCGGTCCATTTCTTACGGAAATCAATCATGGCCTTCGGCAAATAACACGTGAAACTGAGCTAATTATCCTTTCAAATGTTCCGATTTCAGTTTCGGACGAGGAAAACACTAACAACGTCAAACTTTCGACGATGAGTGAGCATGAAGTTTTATTTGGACGATGTATATTACCGCAGGATTCGGTGTCGGAACAATTCATGCAACGGTATTCTGAAATTGTATATTTCCCGAGCCCCATACTCTACAGAGGCATGATTATTCAATTGGGAACCATTTTTATTTGCATGGAATTATGGTGAGTATTTTGTCTATGAAACACCAAATAAAATTATGTAATGTAAGTCTCAGGGAAAATGATAATTGACTTCAGGGCATTTTGACTTGGAGACACTCTTGATGCACCAATTACGTCCGCATCTTGGGATCTCACGGTAATGCAAATTTTTCAGTTCCGTCAGTGAGATTTGCATGCATAGTAATTGATCCACTTTTGAATTATACTTCACTGATAACAAAACATGAAAAAAAACAGTGCCAGCTTCAAACCAAGAAGAACTGAAAAATAAACACCCACTTCATTCTCTTTCAACAGCTATATGGGAAGATAACACCTTCCTTGAAAACGACATCCGCAGGAAAAAGGCGCTGTTTGGGATTAAAAAATAAACAGACATGCTCAAAACTATAAGCAAACAATTGATAACGATGACACATAAAAGCAGATAAATGCGGAGCAAGATTAGCAGAAAATAAATAACTCTGCATCAAGCGAACTCTTTTCTATATCTCGTCAACTTGAAAACACTTATTCGCTGCTGGAAGCATCAAGCCTCTCTCAGTCTTTCATCGATCACCCAACGGTATTGCTGACCAAAGGACGTTCAAAATGAGGATTTGCCTGTTGCTGCTGCTGCTGACGACCTCATTATGGCAACGAATCACAGCATATTCGAATGATTTATTCGCACAGCAACGCATCACATACCGCATCGAAGCCGAAATGACGTTCGCATTGCGTGAGCACGAGAAAATCTCCTTTGTCAATACGGGAGTAGATGAAGCGACTCTTGATCCGTGTTGCGATTCCTTCAAAGTTTTCGTAAACGGGAAATTGGTGATCAATTTAGCCAGTTCTCAAGCCGGCCCCGGAGAAACCTGGTGGGAATACAAAGCAATCAGAGATAGAACAGAAATCCGTGTTGCATACATCCGCGGTGTGGGCAGTGATCCGGGCCTGAAAGGAACTTACTACATCACATGCGAAAAGCCGTGTAATTTCGGGACATGCGAAGTGAACAGATATTACGGGGCTCATTACTACGATAATGAACCGTTATTGTGCAAGTGCTTTGAAAATTACGGCGGGAAAGACTGCAATGTGACTACAGCTCCGAAAGCAACGGAAGGAGTGTTGATACCTTACACTTCCGGCGAAGGAACGAGCAGTCGTTGGGATTTCCAACTCCATCCGAATGAACTCATCACGTTCGGATTGCACGATATCAAAACATCCGGGGCTTTGGTCTTAGTGTTGGTCAACAACGAAACCTCACTGTTGGTCAACAACAAAACTTCTTTCCCAACTAAAGAGGAAATCCGGTTGATGAAGGACAATTTCACGGTTATCTCGGGGGTATCGGGCGGAAACGTCTCAGTGAGTTTGCAATTTCCTCAATATTCATATTCATCGTATCAGCTGCAGTCGGAGGACGTCAGAACCGGGAATCCAAGAATATCCTACAACATTTCTTGCACCCCGGGGTACTGCAAAGGAGGCGACTGTCACACCAACAGAACCAATACAACTTCAAACCCGCCCTTCTGCAAGTGCCATGCGCATTACAAGGGACCGAGATGCGAACAAACGGTGCACGATTGTCCTCTGGATTGTTCCGAGAACTCGGAATGCGTTTGGACAGGGGAAAGGTACACTTGCAAATGCCTCATTCAAGGATTCGTTCACAACGGGACCGAATGCATCGACATAAACGAATGCGAATCCCCAGAAAACCCCTGTTCATCAACAGAGATCTGCGTCAACACCCCGGGATCCTACGAATGCAAATGTCCACCAGATCACCAAGCGTTGCAGACCTCGGCCGGAATCGATTGCGTGTTCAGTGGTTGTGCTTTCCCATGGAATGAGTCCAAGGATAGGAAGTGTTACCTGACTGAAGGTTCCCGAAAAACTGCAAAAAATGCCTCGGACTACTGTGGAACATTCGGAGCAGCGTTGGTCAAGACAGAAAACATGTCCCAAGTAGAAGAAATCGGTTTGGCGTCCAAATCAGCTCTGGTATGGATAAGTCTAACAGACAGCGAAGGAGAAGAGGACAACTGGAAATGGGACAACACTGCTCAATCCAGCTCGCCAAATTTTTCCAACTGGGGACCTGGTTTCCCAGACGGCTCAGCAGATTTTGCCGTCTTGTACCCCAACAGATGGACCACGAAATTTCGGAATTGCAATGCCAAAAAACGCTTCATTTGCGAAACCACGGACCCGTTTTGTCCTTCCGAGTGGATCAGGCTCGAAAATGTTCCCGGGAAGTGCTTCTTCCAATCGAAAACCGTCTGCAGTCACAAAGAGGCTGTAAAAAAGTGTTCTCAAGCCGCAGCTTACGGCAAATTGGCAGTGTGGAATAACGAAACGTTTTTGAATTTCAAGCCTACCTTTTGGGACTCTGTCATAGGCGAAGGTTCCGCTCAATTCTGGGTGAAACACACAATTTGTGGAGGCATCTCCAATTGCACTATGCTCTTCGAAACAGCCTTTGACCCATTCCTAGTGGCTAAAGAAATCTTTGACAATTTAGGAAGCATATTTCGGAACAAAACTCAAGATCAAACAGAAGACATCTTCCAGGATAAAAGTTGCGCCTACATTTTCCCAAACAAATGGGCCGACTACAACCATGACAAAAGCATGTTCAGAAATAGTCCTGGTCCAGCCGTTGCATGTCAACGTCGGACATCTTATAAACTACTGAAGAATTTAGACAAAGTGGGAACTCATTTTGAACCATCCGGTTTTCCCAGGACAACAGAAATGGCAATGACTAATGTGGTCAACTCAATAAAACCACCAGAAAAAGTCAGCACCAGTATGTACACTAATGTGGAACAGACAACAGAGAGCATTCAAACTGAGGTACATGAAATGGATTTTAAAAAAAAAATTACTTGCTGAATATTGAAGGCAGTCAAGAGCAGGGCTTAATCCTTTTTAATTTTTGCTATGTTTTCACAGGTGGTCTCAGAACTTGGCTGAAGGCAAATGTGATTAGCAGCTGCTGCACCATTCAATCAATTGTAGTGTATGATGTTCCTCATGTATTACATGAGACACTGTGGATGTATGACTTACAATTTCAAATTTCATTTGTGAGCACATAAAATTTTCTTTTTAGCTCTTGCAGGTTTGCCTCAATTTTTTTTCCATGGGAAAGTCAATGACCTGAATGACAGATTTACTCAAGTACCACATGCACTTTTTTCCCAGATTTAAAAGGAAAAGAGGGATGCACACATTACAAAGGTATAAATTTCAAAATGATTTAAAAGTTCAGGTGTGCATATATACTTGATGATATACTGTGATGGGAAACTTTGGACCAAATTCAACAGAAAAACACATTTCAATTGAGAAAATTGAAAAGTAGTTCAATTCAGGCTCATTCCAAGTCTAACTTCAAATGTGGGTCTTTGTATTCTTGAAATAGTGTGGTTTCAGAGTCAATTGAAATGGGGTGCGCATATTACTCAGGGATACAATTTCATAAAAAAGTTTAACTGAAAAACCATGGTGGCCTCTTACTTGAGGGCATATGGCTACTAGAGTAAGTACAGGAATGAGATTAATACGAAGGAGGATACAGAATACAGTTGAACCTCAATCAATTAAACATTCATAGGTCAAATTTTTCAAGTTCTGGTCTTATTTCATTACCAACAATTTGATATAAACCTCCCTATCTTGAAGATTTTCTGCCACAAACCTCTATAAGTTAAGTTTTGTCTATTATTTTCAGGACCTAGGAAAAATAAAAGTACTGTAATAAAAATTTAACTTGAGGCTTTTTGAAATTAAATGAAAGAATAATTGGGCAAATACATGCTTGCCTTCACTTTAAGCATCCCATCAACTCCTTAAAAAAGCTGTTTTGGGCCAAATGAGACAACCAATTGCAACTTTTCTACTCCATTTCTTTTTTCTTGTCAACAATGGTACTTTCCAACCTCACTCAAAAACTGCCTATGTTGATTTGTTTGCTTGTCCCTTAGAGTTTGATAATGTATTTTGAGAGTTTCAACTGTGTATATTTTCCATACTTACCCAGAGTAATGAAGAACAACAGAAATATCTTATCAAGATAACACAATGTAAAATATAGACAAAATATTATTATAGTCACAATATAATACATTTTTCATTGTAAAGAATTTTTTCTTCAGTAACAGAACTATAATTTCCGCACAATTCATCAAAAGTCGCTTATACTTAGATTATTATTTCGGGCTTAAAAGAAAAGCGTAGATTTGCGTCACATTAGACAATGAACAATGTATACTGTATGATCAACACAGAAAAAAAAAACTATTTACTCATCAGCACAAGTTCCTTCGCATGCTAATCTAACAATTTCAAAATTCAGAATCGAAATACTCTAAAAAATTGACTGAAACTGTATTCATGTTCAAAATAGTGTCCCAGTATATTTTCCTAATTACTTACTTCGATAAATTCTTTGTAAAAATTTAGATCACTACTGCGACAACAACCGGCTATCTGCCGCCAATATATTGTTTGCAGCACACACGGACGGGTTGATAAGCAAAGCTTGAGATTTGTTTGCATTGAAACTAAAACCGGAAAACAACCGAAACCTTTTATCAAACCATCAAAAGCTCTGCACAAATAAGAAAGGCTTCACTGTCTAAGTTCACTACACCCCGAAACGTCACTCGAATAATACGCGTTGGTGCAAAATGAAGATCTATTTGTTGCTCGCAGTCTTGCAGCAAATCACTGCGTACTCTGTGGATGTTTTCACGCCGCAGATCATCATGGCGGGATACTTCAACAGTCAGATTCAATCCAAATACATCACTTTACAACAGTTCGAGAAAATCACGTTCGTCAACACCGGAGGAAACGGTGCAAAATTGAATTCGTGTTGCGATACCGTGACCGTGCACGTCAACGATCAGTTGGTTGCTTCTTTAGCCAATTCTCCTGCCGGTCCCGGAGAAACCTGGTGGGAGTACACAGCAAACTCGGAAGGAGTTCGAATCCGTTTCAGCTTCAGATTCAACAGCAACAGTGACCCGGGTCTTAAGGGAACTTACAACATTACCTGTGACAAGCCTTGTAATTTCGGGACTTGCGTGGTGAATAGATATTCGCAAGAAGACATATCGGATCCTGTGACGTGCAAGTGCATAGAGAACTACAGTGGAGAAGACTGCAGTGTTGACACGGCGGCAAAAGCGGCAAACGGTGTATTACTGCCTTACGTGCCCCGGGGAATATCGCATTGGCATCTCCACCTGCATCCGAACGAACTCGTCACTTTTAATTTTCATGATCTGACAACGACGACGTGTCTAATCAAAGTTGACAATGAAACGATTTTAAACGCAGGAGGCGCGAAGAATAGTCCCATTACTGTCACCTCGAACGTGTCCGGCAAAAACGTCTCAATAATGCTGGATACCACACAGACTAGGGATGACCGATATAATTACGGTCACCGAACAGTACGCGAGAATCCAAGAATATCCTACAACATTTCTTGCACCCCGGAATACTGCAAAGGAGCTGGTGAATGTCATACCAACAGAACCAATACAACTTCAAACCCGCCGTTTTGCAAGTGCGACGCGCATTACAAGGGACCGAGATGCGAACAAACGGTACACGATTGTCCTCTGGATTGTTCCGAGAACTCGGAATGCGTTTGGACAGGGGAAAGGTACACATGCAAATGCCTCTTTCTAGGATTTGTTCAAAACGGGACCGAATGCATCGACATAAACGAATGCGAATCCCCAGAAAACCCCTGTTCACCAACAGAGATCTGCGTCAACACCCTGGGATCCTTCAAATGCAAATGTCCACCAGATAACCAAGCGTTGCAGACCTCGGCCGGAATCGATTGCGTGTTCAGTGGTTGTGCTTTCCCATGGAATGAGTCCAGGGATAGGAAGTGTTACCTGACCGAAGGTTTCCGAAAAACTGCAAAAAATGCCTCGGAATACTGCGAAACAATCAATGCTGTTTTGTCTGAAACAGAAAACATGGAACAAGTAGAAGAAATAGGTTTGGCGTCCAAATCAGCTCTGATTTGGATAGGTTTAACAGACATTCAACGAAACGGAAACTGGAAATGGAAAAACAAAACATCCACACCAAGGTTTTCGAACTGGGGCCCTGGCTTTCCGACCACCACCGGGGATTTGGCCGTCTTGTACCCTAACCGTTGGACAACGCAATTCAAGGACTGTACCAGCAAAAAACGTTTCATTTGCGAAACCACGGACCCATTTTGTCCATCGGAATGGATAAGAATCAAAAGCATACCCAAAAAATGCTTCTTTCAATCAAAAACTACTCACAGTTTCGAAGAAGCTCAGGGAAAATGCGCTGAGGCAGCAATTGACGGAAGGCTAGCAACGTGGAAGAAAGAAATGTCTGCGAACTTCAAGCCCACGCATTGGGACCCTTCAACTGATGCCGACAGTGAAGGCTTTGCACAATTTTGGATAAACCACCTGAACTGTAAAGGTTCACAGTGTTCTCCGATCTTCGCCACATCTTTTCGCCCACTGCTGGAAGCGCGCGATTTCACTGCACACTTGGAATTCACATCGTCGATGAACTCGACGAATCTCACAGCAGTCACAGAAGCTCCGAAGAATTGCGCCTTTCTCTTTCCGAACAAATGGGCCGACTACACACACGAGAAAAGCGAGTTCAAGCAGAGCCGTGGTCCCACAGTTGCCTGTCAGAGACGTAGTCCTTACATGCTGAAGGATTCATCAAATGGAAAAGAAAACGCAAACTCGTACGTCGCGCAAAGGTCTTCGTCAACAACTGCAGCGACATCTTCACTCGAAGAATCCACAGCACGTTCCAAAGACACTGACTATTTATTTGACAGTCCTCACCGAAGAGCCGACGTCATCCTGAAATAGCCTCATCTTGGGTGAGTCAAGGGAATAATGTGCAGTAATTTGATATTAATGCACGAAGCCTGCGTAGTAATAAAGTCTTTACATAAAACATAGAATGATCCCTTCAGACAATTTTCTTCCACTTCGAAAAAAGAAAAACACAAACAAACAAACAGTGAAAAAATGTTTGCCTTCAATATAATATGTGTGTCCGCCATTTTCCCGCAGGTGTTCCAAAAAGTGGCTGAATAGCCAGCACATGGCGGAAATGCTGATGCATCATTTTACCGCCAACATCCCATACTCATGGAGTTTTGTTGGACCACATTTTCTGGATATTTTCACACACTACTGGAAGTCATATTTTCAACTCAAAACCACTTTATAGTGAGGCTTATTTGTTTCTACTTGCATTTTGGTGTACCGCAGTGCAATGCGCAAATGTTTTGAATTATTGACAAAATGTTGTGCATGCATTTGGGCCATAAATACAGAACATTCTATAAAATGGACTCAGATTATGAAAATGAGTTACATTTGATCAGAAATACAGATTCATTGTCTGCCAAAGAGAGTGCATCAGTATATGTACACTCCTGTATTTGTGATACAATGCCTTCTATATATGATGGAATAGCAATACAGTAATAGGAATAAAGAAAGAAGACAAAAGTCCCTCAGCTAACTTGCATAAGGATAAATGCCACATCAGCAGATAAACGAGTTGTGACAATGGAAAGAAACACACTCAAATGATTTCCACACATATCAAGTTTTCATCAGCCCATCATTCTCTTATTCATCATATTGTTCTTAGAATCAAAGGAACAGAAAAACGAAAAACCCATATAGCACAATGTTCAGTATAGATACTATACTGTAGTTGAAAAAGATCAATGAGAACCCAGGAAATACCTAATATACTAAATTACCTTCTACAAGAATTTGCACGTGAATGGCGAAATATAAAAAACGATAATTCCGAAATAAAATGACGACTGACAAAAGCGATATCGCAATTTTACATAAAAATAACTGCCTTTATACATGAACAACGTCGGAACACACACGCAGATAGAATAAAACGTTAGTTTTTATTGTTTCGAAAAAAGGCATAATACACCATCATGTATACATCAGAAAACAGCCCGATGTAAAGAAACAGGCATTGTATACAGAAAAGGGAGCAACTCTGACATCACAGCCTTAAACTTGCATACAGCCGAGCAACTGCTGTATACTTAAGGCATATATACAAACGCGCATCAATAAAACATCAACGTATCTAACGAAATTCTAACAGAGAAAAACAAATAAAATTTGCCAGTCCCCTCAAGCACAGATTCTTCTCGCAAATGAGAAATAACCAACACGACACACTACTTGAATTTAAACCGGCGACCACAACACGATTCGTTTGTTCTTATCACAGCTTGCCAGGAAATTGCCACCGGGTTGCCATGTGCAGGCGATCACCGAGGTGCTGAAGTCGAAAAAAAAAGCATGTAGATAATTTTGCAAATTCTGTATCGTGGGTGAATGTGTCACTCTTTTTTTTATCTTTTCTTACCCGTGTTCCCGCAAAACTTTCTCCAGTCGCCCTGAAGATACGTTCCACACATAAACGCAGCCATCTGAAGAACCAGCTGCCACAAGAGAGCAATCCGGGCTCATCGCGGCTCTGCACCAGTCGCAACTAACGTGAAACCCGTCAGCACTGAAACAGAGTCGCAGGTGAAACATGGTCTTATTTTACTCTCGTTGACATCTGTGGATGCCTGGAGGTTATGATTTATTCTTCTGTCACGTAGATGTCGCTAAGATACCGAATGTCGCATGGGATCAATAATTTCCTTGCTGGATCTGTTTCTTAAAAATGATGCGAGATTGATTACAGCTAGGTTACAGCTCAGAGTTAGTCACGACCTCATGACTCAGCTTACGTGAAATTCATCATACTTACAACAGTGCTGGATAATATGGAGTGCAACGTTTCCACTTCGAAACCACAGACGACGAATAAATTTTCTTTTTACTTTGAATTCGCGTTTATTCAGACTACGGGGAATTGGTCAAGCGAGGCGTAATCTTGACCGGTTCTGGATTCAAGTTCAAAACCAGTTCGACGCTTGAAAATCACAAAATCCGTGGTTTCAAGAAAAAGAGGGATACGTATACCATCAGAAATATGTTATTGTGCACGTAACGAAACGTTCTCGAGGAATATCGACATATTGCATCAAAATAGACACGCACATTTTCTACATTTGCACACTTAATTTATATTAGTTTCCTTGTACCGAGCCCCTCATTTCGTATTCACATCATAGATGTCGGTGTCGCATAAATGTGAAAATGTTGTACTGTATTGCGTTTCTTTGCGGCTGAGTGAGTCACCCAGCAGTTGGTCGATTTACCCAAGATTGATATTAGAGCGACACCTGCCTAGCCTCTCAGAATTTAAGCTTCAAGAAAATAAAAAAGTAGGGATAGGTGTCGCGTATTTAAAACTTGAAGTAAACACTGCACCGTCATAAGTACCAAAATTTCGCACGAGTAATCTCTTGTCTCAGTTCCGCACGTCCGCAGGGATAATAATTTTTTACTTTCAAGGATTTTCTTGAAGAAAATGTCAATACAAGCAAGCACACAATTTTCATGGTTATCGCAGTGCAGTAGTATGGTTTCCATCATCATGTCCAAGTGAGATATGAGAAACGGCATTACCGTTTCTCTTTTGAACTCATCACTCGCAAGCATCATGAAATATTTACAGAGCTTTTACGTATAATAGCGTTTCCTCTATACCATTCATTTCCACACAGTTATTATTCATAAACTTCCCTCAGATAGTAAATATGGCGATTAAGCTCGGACAAATTCAGTTGAAAGCGTAGTCTTATAGCTTTTTCTCAGGAATTTCCTATACAAAAAACTGACGCGAAATTTCCCGACTAGAAATACTGTAGAAATAATTAACATAAAAAGGACTAACCTGTAAGAGTCCAGAACTTGGTTCATCTGCAGGTCCAATAGCTTCAGTGAATCATCCCGGACACACGCCAAAAGGTATTTCAGATCTTGAAATCGTGCGACGAAAAAAACAAACAAAATCTACATTAGCAAATTTCAAGAAAGAAAAATGCTGGTGGTAGAAAGTATCAAAAGAAAAAATAGGAATGGAAATCCCTTTTTGCAGTTATGTATCAGCTCAAAGTCCCATAAGAGTTCAAATATCAACTACAATTGTCATTAGTCATTTCTAATTATTTATGGTGTCCACTACTGCCTTATTAATTTATTTTCTGCATTAAAGATACTGTATATATTCTGAAATATGTATGAACTTCAGAAAACTCATCACTTGGCAGCAAAAAAATTGGTGGGAATTTCATGCATATGCGATTTTTATGGTACAGCATATTCTTTTTTATGAAGTTATCATAATACAGTATTTGTTAAACACAGTACAGTACAATGAATTTTTTTTTTACAACAAATGCCGTCACAGCAAATTTTTCAGTATAACAAACTTTGTTTACAAGTCCCAGGAGAAATCCTATAGGGTAAATGTTATAAAAAAAAACATTGCAACAATCTCTGAAATTTCAATAAAAATAACCTTTTTCCAAGGGACCACTAGTGATTTTCCTAATGAAAAATCCCCAATGCTGGCTCAGTCTCAAATTTCCCACACAAACTATACCTGTGACTAGTTCTTGGGACTTGAGTGGAAGGTGGAATCAAGGACATAAATGCTCAAAAATTCACCTGAATGCCCACTCCTTTGAAATTTCTTCATGGGTTAAGAATAATGGGGGGGGGGGGGGGTAGGTTTGAGGGAAAAATGAACCCAAAAATGTCATCTTGAAAGGGGGGTTTGGATGCTTGTGAAACCCTATTGATGCTTAAAAACAAAGCTTTTTTTGGAACACCTCTCATTAATCTGTGAAGGAATTGCTGAGGAGAACTTGAAGTACTAGTTTTCAGAGTAAAATATTGTTATTGCCATTTGAATTTATTTTTGAAGATCAGTTTTTTTAAACAAAGAAAAACATCTGAAAATGCCAAAAACGCAAGATTTTGAATATTTGCACGTTTAATAAAAAAATCTTCTCAGAAGTAAATATTGAAAAAAATCTCATGTCTATTTTAAACTTTTTCTGAGGTCCCCAGAAGTTTTTCATAACAAGATTTTAATGAATAGGTTCTTTTTGTTGGCATTTTATTTTCTAACCCCACAATAAAGCAGTACTGTACACTTTTTAAAGAAAAACATTAATATATGAAAAGAGGAGAAATATAAAACTATACCTTTTGACAATGACAAAGAAGTGATTTTCCCTTGGAACTCAACTTCAGAAACGGCATTCTTTTGGTGTCTCGCGTCCCAAAACCGGATTTTCTTGTCAAAATGACCACTAATTATTCCAGTTGCCAACCAATCCGTAGCAACTACATCGTTGCAAACAGAGCCTGCAAAAATTGTCATCGCACCTGAAGAAGAAAAAATAAATAAACATGTCAGAGAATTTAATTCTGTCGCGTAGTTTCTGGAAAAAAGGAACATTCACTCGGGTAGACGATATTTAGCCAAAAAAAAAAATTTACGTTGTTTGTACTGGAAAAACTGATTCAAGTCATTCTCCTCTTGAATATGACGTCTACCGTGATCTTTCAGTAATTCCAAAATACACTTATGCTCATGAAAACAATTTCAAAATGGAAATGCTTGAATTTAACAAGCAGTTTTCTACGTTATTTCAGAAAATCAGATCGAAGAGAGTTCAAACATAAAAATGTATCCGATGTTTGACTTCATATTATTTTGCAGAATTAAGAAATGTATTAAAAACACTTAAAATCCAAGCAATCGTATCAATTATTTAATAGCCGCAGTATAATGACTGGGTTATAATTTTTTTTTAAATTTCTTCTTGCGATTCTTGTCTTGTCCACGTTGAAATAGCGTGATAAATTAAATTTGCGAGGATTCATGAATGGCAAGCATCAATTGTGGAGCACGCAATCCAAAAAAAAAAGATTGGAAATTTTTCGTTTCCGGCACAAATGGTTCACGTTTAAATCTTTTCACAAATTGTTGAGGTGATCAGGATATCGAAGGTTTTTTTGTAAAAGGAATTATTATGAATTGAATGAAATTTCAATCTCATTTCGCCTCAAGTTATCCAGAGAAGCTTCTGCGGATTTCCGAATGTTCAAAAACACACCAAAATGTCTGAATAAAATCTTGAATCGAATGGATGACTCACATGATCTGCTTCTCAAATCCCAGATTTTCAAAGTTCTGTCTTGGCTGCCTGACACAACTTTTCCCGCTCCACCACTGTTCCCCATGAAACGTGCTGCCATCACTTTGTTACTATGCCCCGTCAACGTATGCTGAAAAGAAGAGGAAACATTTTCGAAAAAACAATTATTCACAACACCGCATTCACTCTTGAAAAGTTACCCCATGTTTTAATATGACTTTGCACAAAGAAAAAAAAATCATAAAGGCTTCCATCAGGAAAGCAAATTCGCAATAAAACATTCAAGCAAATGAAAACCTGCGTTATCTATACTGTATAGTTATCTATGCCGAGCCGAAGTCGACGACCGCATGTCTACGTGGAGCGACACCTACTTCAAAAAGTCTATCTTTCAAATTGATAGGCTTCAACAAGTTAACAGGGGTCCTCAACGTCACCCTGGGAGTGTGCGGGCGGGAGCCGTTGAGCGACACCTACTTGAAGATTGAAAAGACCTCCTGCCGCTGTTGTTACAAGCGTCCGTAGGGGTCAAAAGATCCCACCCATCGTCTTCAAACGTGCGTCAGTTTCGCGGAACCAAGCCTGCAGGCACGAAACGACCCTCATAATTTAGCCAATAATCCATCAAGCATTTGAACTTCTTGGCGCATTCCCGCAGCAGCATCTGCTCTACATTACCTCCCGGAACACAACCATCAACTCTGATCTCGTATGAATTACGAAAAAAAGGCCTTTCGGCCTTCCGAAGGTCACGCTTGGCCGCTCAACCGTATCTTTCCCCTCCTCCCCCCCTAAAGAGCCTCATACTGATCATATTACCCATGGTTTCAACCGTGACCGTGAGCAACTCAGCGACAAAGAAAACAAGAGCCCATTGAAGTGGGGCCAGGATTTAGCGTGACACCACAGGGAAACAGTGTTATTCAAGAGGTAACCATGTACAGTATATATATAAGACAGGTCCGGTTGGTTGGGATGGGTTTATTCGCAGCGGTATCAAGAAAGATATGATTTTGGATTTGGAAGTCTGTCGTTCACTCACAGAGTGACTGAAAAGCCAAATGCTTTCCAGACTTACCAAAAGATCGTTCATCATGTAATGTAAGGTTATAAAAAGTTAGGAATGACTAATAATCTTCATGGGGAGCCTTGAAGATTAGATATATTTTAATGTTATATCTCCACGAGAACCAAGTGTGTTATAGACCCATCAAACGATCATTATATGAGCAACGTGAAGCAATAAAAACTGAAAAAAGGTTGATAATCATCAATACTGTATCTTCATGAGGGCCAAATGTGTTTGAGACTCACCAAAAGATCATTACAGTATATATGAACAATGGGGAGCAATAAAAAGATTTGACAATCTGTTTAATTTGATAGAAAAAATATGTTATTGATCCTGATTCTGTACAAAAAACATTAATTTGCTCCTTTTCTCTCTTTTCTATAGTTTCAGAAAGACCACCACAAACTCCATAAATGTCATTTCATGTAGTTTTCCTCAAAATACATTGAAGTTAAGTTAAAGTTAGAATTACAGTATTTCCAGGCTCCAAGATTTCAATGAAATATGGATTCTATAGAGGCAAGTGCATACATTTATAAAAAAAAAAATCTGCAGCAGATCAATTGCTCAAATCCTGGAAAAAACACCACAAACACTCAAAAGAAACAATGTTTAATAACACACTCAAGGGCAGCTTTCATTCACAAAAAGAAAAGCTTTGCAAACTATATTTGCTACATATATGATACTGCATTTAAGATTGTCCATGGTTGATACTGTATTCACTCAATGACCATGTGTATTTAGTATAAGACATGCATCTGAATTTTCCAAACTAAAATTTGGATAAAAACCTACCCCCAAGCAAGATGAGCACCC